CCACATCTCGTCGGGTAGTTTTAGCCGGGGATTGGAATGCCATCCTTGACCCCGATATAGATCGTATAGGGCAAAATCCGGGTACTAACAACCGGGATGTGAAACCATTTCGGGACTTTATCGACAGGTTTGATCTTGTCGGAATTAAAACCCTCGGGAGGTAGCATGGACTAAAACAAATAATGGCAACTTGGCTTCTTGGACGCTTGCTAGCTACCTCGACCGAGTCTTCGTTACGAGAGTCGATGTAGAACTCTTAGAATGTCCAAGCTTCCACTATATAGTTTATTCGGATCATAGGCTTGTCTGGATCCGTGTAAACTTAGATAAGCCTAAGGTTAGGTTGGCTGGTTACTGGAAATTAAACTGTTCATTATTTGGTGAGCAGGATTTCCGGGATCAGCTGCTACTAATGATTCAGAGGGTATTGACGGGGTGGTTATAGGGAACGCCTGGTGGGATAAATTAAAATCCAAAATTAGAACGTTTGCTGCCGATTTTAGTCGACTCAATCTAGATAGATTAGCGGCGCAAACGGCTTCAGAAGAAAAAGTTGATCGGGCAGTGAATTCCCGTGATGGTGGGGAAATAGCCTTAGCTAAGGCAGAGTTGTCCTCCTTGCTTATCAAGAAGGGTCAATCTCTAGTAGGTTAAAAAGAATGTCCTCTGAGACGACGAATATGGCCGCTGAATTGCGTGCAGAGGAGAATCGGGGCGCGTCTCGGTGACATATCGCACGTGTCACTTTGCCGGATAAGTTAACCGTGACTACAAACGCGGGCTTATGCGAGGCCTTTCCGGATTACTTTCAAGAACTTTTCACCAGTAAGCCCGGTCTGAGCTCCGCTCAGTTCGACGCCTATTTAGCCTACTTTCCCTGCTTCAAGGCAGCTGAAACGGCTGGGTGCGAGTGTCCCATCACAAAGTCGGAAATCTGGGAAACAGGTTGACCTGGATAAATCTCTGGGTCTAGATGGTCTTCCCTACGAAGTTAACTTGAGGCAGTCGCCCGTTTTTGTTCCTTTGCTGGAACTGATTTTCAACAACTGGATGAAGCAGGGGTGTGATCAAGTTGCTGCGTAAGGACAAGAACGGTGGGGATGTGTTAGATAACGTTCGTCTTTTAACCATGTTAAACACTGAGTTAAAGATTTTGGCGAAGATCTTAGCCAACCGTTTGCAACTTGTCCTGTCTAGTCTGATTGGCTCCGATCAGACTTGTGCTGTGAAAGGCAGGACTATTCAAGATAACCTTCACATGGTACACTTGATCTTATAACAAGTCAACAGTGAAGCTGCGCTGATCAATTTAGATCAGTCCAAGCCCTTCAATAGGGTTGACCATCGTTTTCTGGAGGCTATCCTTGCGGCGGCCGGTTACGGACCTGATTTTCGCTCCCGGATCCGACTTTTGTATGCGACTCCCCGTGGAAGTACATGGGGTAAAATCAGTGCCCTCCGTATTGTCTCGCTCCATTCGTCAAGGTTGTCCGCTTTCGCCTTTGCTTTACGTCCTTGCGTTGGAACCTTTCCTTAGCAACTTAAAGGCGAATCCGATCCTGCGCGGAATTTCCCTGCCTGGGGCTACCACCTCAGCCAGATATTCTGCCTATGCTGATGACATTTCGGTTCTTGTATCGAGCAGAGCCGAGATTGACGAAGTCAGCAAAGAGATCAGTGGTTATGAGATGGTGACAGGGGCCATGATCAACCGCGATAAGTCTGTTGACTTGCGATTGGGGAGGGCGGAAGTATAAGTTTCACACATCTGCCCGATTCTCCTTTACCGACTCTCTGTACTTCCACTTCTGTATGCCACACTAATGTCATTAGTAAGGCTCTTGTTCTCTTTCTTGTGGAGAGACAAGGCCGCTATGGTATCCCGGGAGATCTGTTGCCTTCATCCCTCTGAAGGCGGCTGGGTATGCCTAGCATTGAGATTCGTCAATATATGCTTCGCATCGCCTTCCTAGACCGAATGTGTCGCGAATCGGATGAGGTAGGCGCCTTCTGAAAGGAAGACGTCCGTAGAAACTTCCCATCCCTGAGAAGTGTGCAATCGTGCGAGGAGGAGGCCGGCCGTACACCCCGAGCCGAATGCTCCTTCTACCGCGAATGTCGTCGTGCTCGGAAACGCCTCTTATGGGCGTCGGATGGCCTCTCCAACGTCCAGGCGTTGTCTCGTAGGGCATTGTATCAACTATTAGTCAGGGGGTCCGTTCGTGATAATTTATCGGTCTTACGAAGCAGGAGGCTCGCTCGATATGGCCTTGGGCGCTTGGCTTGAAATACCTCAATAATGATGAGGGATCACTAACCTGGCTGGTGATTCGTGGGTCTCTCTTTGTGCAGCGGGCTTGGAGAAATCTCCAAACTGCCGACGCTGTATTGGGGAAGTTGAGACCATTGGTCACGCCTTCTTTTATTGCACGGTGGTAGCGCCGCTGTGCAGGTTTGTTGAGGGCCTCATGGTCTGCATTCTGCAGGGAAAGTTCTTTGTCTTTGAGGCCAGTTCTGTTTGTAGCAATGTGGTACGGCAGATGACGAAGGCTGATCAATATGTGTTCTTTTGCTTACTAGGTGTTATGAGAGTCGTGATTTGAGCGACGCATAAGAAGGAATTCTATGATGGCGAGAGGTTCACTTCTTCCCAAATGATCTTGTTCTTTAGGCATCAGCTTAAAGTCAAGATTAGAACGGAAAGGCGGCGGCTCACCCCATCAGAATGTGGCAAAAGGTAGGTGAATCTTGCGCGCTTGTGCCGATTAAAAGGGGATGACCTGGAGTGGCGTTTTGATGCCGGTTAGGCATCAGGATATTGTTTTCCTGGGTTGAACTTCGGCAACCTATGCCTGGATTTAGGCTAGAGTAGGTTTTTTTTTGTATTTGATTCTTTAGTTTTTCTTTTCCAGTAAACTTAGCTAGGGTGTGTTTGCTCATTGACCCCTTTTATTTATGTCCCTTTTTTCCCTTTAATTTAACTCACCATCGCCTCCCTCGTTACGTGGTCAGTGATGTCAGTTCTCTGGTGGATGCGGGGCGCCTTTCGTTTCGCGTGTGTTTTTCGTATTTGTTGTTGTGTCAGAATGATTGCGTGTCTCTGTGAGTGCTTGGGATGGATGAATGTTTCCTATATTCTTAGAGTCCCGCATCAATTTCGTCCAGTTAACTGATATTTCTGCCACATTTAAGGTTTGTGGTTTTTTTTATTAACATTATTTTGTTTAGTTTCTTGTAAATAGTTTATAACCATATTGTATATATATCATTGGGGGGTTTAGCTTGTTTTTTATTCCCCTCCCCTCACAAACAACGATGGAGACTAGTTAGGATTTTCATTGAGACAATGAGATATTTTGGTGGATGTAGTAAGAAAGGTAAGTATGAATATGTTTTTTTGGTGGTAGGAATATTGTTTTGTATGATTGGGTCAGTGGTTGTGACTAGCTCAGTTTAAAATTAAGACGAATGATGACCGTCCTATCCTCATCCCCTTGTTTAGGCCTTGTGCCACATTTTCTGTACTTTTACAGAAATAAATATTGTCAGCCACCGGAGTTCAACGAGATGCTACGAAACTCCACGCAGGACAATTCACTGACTCACACACCACATCTCAACAAACTCAACCATTGTCCGCGTGTCAACCAACATCTATAGTTGACTTGAAAAGTGAAACAATTTCACTAGTAAAAAGTAATAGTATATTTCACCAACTTAGCCTACACAGATAAAGGCAAGCAACTCTTGATAACATTTATTTTTACTTGCAAATTACACACGTACACACATTGATAAATGAACGGACACATATAATTTATTTTTCCTTGCAGAAACCAATTCATTTTAAATTTCTTAACAATCAAAATGTACCAACATTTCTCAACAACATTCCTGCACAAACATTCCTTATGACATTGTCTTAATTATCGCAACAGCAAACATTGTAATTGTCGTTACATGTATATTTTATTGTTGATATAAAAATTTCTTTAATGATAAATCTTTAACAACAGTATTTAGTAGTTTCTTGCCATGCAATTTGTTCTTAAATTATTGTATAACCAATATTTTGTGGGATACGGACGCTATAATCTCGCATAACCTTCATCTTACATAATTTTGCCTTCTGATATATTTCACTCCGTGTACATCCCTCAACAAGTTCATTCAGTTACTTTCTTATTAGATTCTCCTAAAAATAATTTGCTTCCAGCATTATTTTCGTATCGAATAGTTTAACTTTATCTAACAAGCTATTTATTCTAATCTCTATTTGACCGTTTTATAAAAGACGTCGGACCTTTTAATCTGACATTACCCTTTTTATCTGTGTTCCTCACAACCGGCAACACCCCTTTTTACTTACGTTTTATTTATTTCAAACGTTCAACTTATTATCATTGTTGATGTTTTTTTTTTGCTTTTTTTGATTTGGCTTTCATCTTTGCGTTTTATTTACGTATCTTTTCGTCTTCTCGTACTTCTTTGCCGACCTCATCTTATTCGACATTTCTTAGCACATTTCCTTTTCGTTATATTTATTATCTTTCCATTTTCGGCTCATCCATATTCTCCGCGTTTTCTCTTTTCTATCTATATTCTTTTGTTTCTTTCTCTCCGCCATTTAACGTTTATGTTAAACTTTTATTTTCGCAAATAATACTAATAAAACTCTATCTTATCAAAACTACATCCTTTCATCTATACAACCCAAAAGACTTCAATCACATGTGTCTCTTTACTTATACGTTTAAATCGACCCCAACCCCAAAATTGACTTACTTTTACTCCATCTTATAGCCTACGTGTTTCCTTTATAAATCGTTTTCCAATCTCTACTTGTTATTCTTTCGTTTTAAGTCGCTACAGAAAAGCATCTTTTATAGCACCATCTTTTTTTTTTTTTAAATACATGATATCCAGCCACGATCGTCTTTAAAGACCTTTACTGACGTTCTGAGATTTACTGGGTTTTTCCTCTTTTTTTATGTTGTTTTATGTCTTCGATTTCATTGATTTTTTTCTTCTGTCAGCGGTTCTTGTCTCAAAGATTCCTCCAGAGATTCTTTAGGCTTGAAGGAGAAGTTCTTTTTCGTTCTTCCAGATCTTCTTTGTCTATTTTCAAGACGCGCCTCTTTCCTACTAAAGCCCGGATGTATTATCTCCTGCTGTCTAAAGAGTTTTACTTACGTTCTTTTGATTTTTTTTTACTTACTTCCCTCCTGTCCCCATTCTCTCTCTCACTCTCTCTTTCCCTGCTCCTATTCTCTATTTCGCTCTCTCATTATTTCTCTCCCCCTATCCCATCTCACTCGCTTTCTCTAGCTCTCTCTCTCTCTCTCTCTCTCCTCCCTCTCTATTTCTCTGTCCATATTACAGCTGTGGATTACCGCCCATTCAATGTCGTTTTTCTTTTCACGAAACCCTTTCACTTTCCATCTAACTTAAACGTCAATCGTGAACCAATTTCGCAAGAATACGGGCACATACTCAGATGTAAATATGTACATGCATATATGTATACATACATGCACAAATATATGTGCCTATATGTGTACATTGTGTGTATACATACGCACACACTTATACATATATATATATATATATATATATATATATATATATATATATATATATATATATATTTATATATATAATATACACATACATATACAATCATATATCTCTATATATATATATATATATATATATATATATATATACATATTTTATATATATATACACACACACACACATATATATATATATATATATATATATATATATATATATATATATATATATATATATATAATATAGTGGAAAATATACATACATATGCAAAATATATAAATACCCATACATGTACATTTTTAGAAAAAAAAAAATTCCAAGAGGAAGAATCCAGGTAGAACTCAATGTCTAGGACAGAGTAAGGATATATCTTTTTGAATTTGTAGGTCTGATGAATTGGATCGTATTTACGATTCCAATGGAATAAATTATGGCCATGGAATATTAGTGTTTAAGCCTTTTTTATATATATATATATATATATATATATATATATATATATATATATATATATATATATAAACAATAATTCGAAGAGGATAGAATCCAGGTAGAACTCAATGCCCAGGACAGAGTAAGGATATAATGAAAGGGCTTAAACACTAATATTAGTGTTTAGTTTTTTTTTTATATATATATATATATATATATATATATATTATAAATTAATTGATTTATATGTTTTTTTTTCGCTCCACAGTTCTAACCATGTTTCAAAAATGGAAGGTGAAAGCCCCGAATTTAATTTTGTAATTAAAGTAAAGGCATTAGTTCTGTTTCATCCTCATGCGAATTTTGGAGTAACTTTTAAAATTACTGGGTTTTATAGACAGAGCAAAAAATCATAATTCACGTTTCCAAGGATACAGAAAAATCCAATTCAACAAGACAAGGGGTGTTTGCGTGATCATTATGTCTTTATTTTGATGTATCCGTTATAAGTTACGTTTTGGTAGGGGGTAGGGATGTATTCTTCAATGAAATCTGACATCCGTTAAATGCATGTCGTCTGGATTTTTTAAAATTTTATTGTTAACGGCAAAAATTCTTACGGCATTTTTTTCTATTTGTATATTTAAAGGTTTTTGGGGGTGTTTAGGTTAGAATACGGTTTATTTAACTACGATTTGAAAAAATATATTCACTTTTAATTTTTAATATACTATATTTCTTTTAAGAACAAGTAAATGCATTAGAATCCCTTACAGTATGTAAAATTATTTTCAGATCAAGTATAAGTATGTATATTATTAGGCAACATTTTTTTTAATTATATTTAAATATTATTTAAGTAAAATTTATGACAATGACGGCAAGATAGCTAATTAATTTCACTGATTTAGTAAACTTTTATTTTATTTTATTTTTTTATATAAACCTAGTAATATATTGTTTCTCATGTAAGTAAAAAGAACATGGGTCATTCAATGGCTTACATCTTCTAGCTTTTCATATTAATTTCATTTTACTGTAGCTGTTTTATTGGATTCTTTTAAGTGCGTGTAGTACGTAGAGAGAGGTCTTTAGGTTAAAATACGTTTTATTTAACTACAATTTTAAATACAACTTTAAAATATTTTCCCTGTTAGGTTTAATAGACTATATTTCTTTTTAAAAGAAGTAAATGTATTAGAATTACTTTCAGTAAGTAAAATTATTTTTCCACATCAAGTATAAGTATGTATAATTACGATTTTTAAAATTTTATATTTAAATATTATTTAAGTAAAATTTATGACAATTACAGCAAAAATAACTAATTCATTTCTCTGATTTAGTAAACTTTATTTTTTTTAATTTTTTTATAAACTTAGTAATAGTTTAGGTTAGAATACGTTTTATTTAACTACAATTTTAAAATATGTTTAGGTTAGAATTCGTTTTAACTACATTTTTAAATGCAACTTTAATTATATTTTCATTGTTATTTGAATAGACTATTTAAAAAAAAAAACAAGTAAATGTAATAGAATTACTTACAGTATATAAAACAATTTTTTCAAGTTAAATATAAGTATGCATATTACCTGGTCGCACTTTTAAAATTTATTTTTATTTTTAAATATTATTTAAGGAAATTTTTTGACAATGACGGCATAAAATAGCTATTTCATTTCTCTGATTCAGTAAATTTTTATTTTTTATAAACTTAGAAATATATAGTTTCTCATGTATGCACAAAGGATATGAGGCATTTAATGACCTACTTATTCTAGCTTTTCTTATTAACTTCCATTTTACTGTAGGTGTTTTATTTGATTCTTTTAGGTGCCAGAAGTACTTCGAGAGAGATGTTTGATTTTTATATTTATTCATCCTAAATAAACTTTGATGTTGGTTGAATCTTTTTTGAACTCAAAATTGTAGTTAAATAAAACGAATTCTAACCTAAACATCTTTTAAAATTGTAATTAAATAAAACGTATTCTAACCTAAAGACCTCCCTCTAAGTACTAAAAGCACTTAAAAGAATCCAATAAAACAGCTACAGTAAAATGATATTAATATGAAAAGCTAGAAGATGTAAGCCATTGTACTTACATGAGAAACAATATATTACTAGGTTTATACAAAAAATAAAATAAAATAAAACTTTACTAAATCAGTGAAATTAATTAGCTATTTTGCCGTCATTGTCATAAATTTTACTTAAATAATATTTAAATATAATTAAAAAAAATGTTGCCTAATAATATACATACTTATACTTGATCTGAAAATAATTTTACATACTGTAAGGGATTCTAATGCATTTACTTGTTCTTAAAAGAAATATAGTATATTAAAAATTAAAAGTGAATATATTTTTTCAAATCGTAGTTAAATAAACCGTATTCTAACCTAAACACCCCCAAAAACCTTTAAATATACAAATAGAAAAAAATGCCGTAAGAATTTTTGCCGTTAACAATAAAATTTTAAAAAATCCAGACGACATGCATTTAACGGATGTCAGATTTCATTGAAAAATACATCCCTACCCTTAGCAAAACATAACTAATAACTTATACATCAAAATACAGCCATAATGAACACGCAAACACCCTTGTCTGGTTGAATTGGATCTCTCTGTATCCTTGGAAACGTGGATTATGACTTTTGCTCTGTCTTTAAAACCCAGTAATTTTAAAAGTTATTCCAAAATTCGATTGAGGATGAAATGGAACCAATGCCTTTATTTTAATTACAAAATTAAATTCGGAGCTTTCAGCTTCAATTTTTGAAACATGGTTAGAACTGTGTAACGAAATAAAACATATTTTAAATCAATTAATTTATAATATTAATGCACTGTAAATTCACATTGAGCATTATTTTGTAAATATAAAAATATCTATAAGAACACCGGATTATATATCTTACTGTTCTTTCTTTTTATTCATATATATATATATATATATATATATACACACACACACACACACACACACACACACACACATATATATATATATATATATATATATATATATATATATATATACACAACTAAAGTGCCTTCACTTGATAACATGTTTTGTAAAAGCAATAAGTATATACATAAAAACTATATACATATATATATATATATATATATATATATATATATATAAAAAGTTTCAAATTAAAAATTATAATGTTTTATTTTATGAAAGTATTTATTTATTTATATATATATTTGATATTTCAAATTGTCCTCAATATATATGCCGACACACTATATATCTATCTATCTATCTTTCTATACATATATTGTTGATTTTACTGGAATATTGAGTTCAGAATAGTAAATGAAATTTTGATGGTCAAGCGATGAATCAGTGGGATATACAGAAATACACGCTCTAGTGAATGAAACATCTAGAGTAGCCAAATATCAAAGTGAAATTTTGTTTTGTTTTTTTCTATCTCTATTTGTATTCTTCTATTCATTATATGATAAGGTAGCTAGCTATATATATATATATATATATATATATATATATATATATATATATATATATATATACAGACTTAGATATGTATAGAATTATTATATATGAAGTAAATATAGTATACACTTATTCATTAGAAACAATTTGCTTCTTTGGAAATGAATTTACCTTTAGATACAATACTGAGCAGATATGACATTTCGAGAATCTAGGATGAAAAGATTTCGCTTAAGGCCACTCTCCGGCTTTGCTTGATCGACGACGCTTTTCATCGTTGAATCTGTGTAAAGAACGTCAAATCTAACGACGGTTTATCCCGAAAAGGGGGACGCAGGTTCATATCCTATCGGAGGTCCCATATTTTTCTTTCATAAGATATTAGGATATTCAGGCCGGTAGATGAAAATACTGCTTAAAATAAGCCGAGCGTCCACTCAAATGTGATATCAACTAAAAATAACTTTTATATATATTAGGATATTACATCGAAAACTTGTCAACATCGCTACAGTCGTGTTTTGATGCCTATTAAATGCATCTCATCAGGAGAATGTAAATTACTGGCGATTGAACAATCTATTTAGATGTAAAATCAAAATACAACCTCTTTTACGAAAAAAGGAATATGTTGGGATTATAATGTTTGTAGGCTTTACTCAGCTCAACCAATCGAAGCGAAGAAGCTAAAATTAAGAAATTATTTTCCATTAACGGCTCATGACCCATAGACTGGCAATCAATGACAGCACAGACGTTAAACAGGAGTTAATGTTAATGGATACAATTTTTACACACTAGACAATGTCATTTCCTAAGAAAAAATAAGATGGAATAGTAATTTATAAAAATGGTAAACAAATTATACGTTATACGTTATACGTTTTGTGTGTTTCCTACATAAAATTCTTTTCATATTTAATAAATGAATAGTTTCTTTAAGAAAGAAGTAAGCGATTTAAACGTATAGAATTACTTGGTAAATTAATATGCAACTGTTGACTAAAGATTCTTTATATAGGATGTTAATAACAATAACCAGTCAATGCAAAATGTGAAAAATTGCAACCAAATACGAATATATCCCTACACGATTTTACTAATACTAGCAGGAGCTTAATACAAAATTATATTAAATCCAAATTAATCTTACAAATAGAAAGTTAAGCAATATAAGAAAAAAGCATTATCAAATACCAAGTCTATCTGAATTGTAAAGTGAAAGGTAGACGGTGTTTACAATTTACCGTTAACTCAGATATTTGGTTTAATAAAGCATTCTTACCAAAGAACCTGATCATTTCCATTTTTTCATGTAAACATAGAAAACAGTGTTCGCGTTAGGATCTACATTTCCTTGCCATTTTTAAAAAATTCCATTTCACATTAGAAGGTTTATTATCATCTTTTAAACTCCAAAAATATTTGGAAAGTGATGTATTATTTCTATAAGTATTATTAGTAAAGGACAACACATGTTGATACCACTTAGTTTTGAAAGAATTCTTAGTACAACCAATATATGTTGTAGAGATAGTACAAAGATAAACAAATGATTTGTTTGGCAATGGGGAATGGTTAGAATTCCTACAATAAAACTATCCGGTATCATTAACGATATTTTTCTTGGAACTTGTATTATGATTCAAATTATTAAATTGGTTTAAAATTTTACTATTGTGTAACTTTATGATCTTCTCAAGATTATTGGTGCAGCTATAACTAAGTTTTAATGTGCTACTGTTAAATACTTTAAAAATAGTTTTACTTTCAGGAAAATGTTTATCAATCAATTGGAGGAACTTATCTATACATACACGCACACACACATACAAGGGGAGAGGCAGTGAGAGGTGTATAGAATATATATATATATATATATATATATATATATAGATAGATAGATAGATAGATAGATAGATAGATAGGGTGTATTAAAATATTTTCAGAATAATTTCGGGCGCGTTCTTGACACTAAAAAAGAACAAAAGACCATATAAACATATATCTGTAAATCCTTCGTTTTTGCGTTATTAAGATTTATGAAAGTCTACAAGAGATGACGCTGCGTTGCCTAGGAGACTAGGTTACTGTCTTCTACATTTAATGTGTATAGAATTGAGTTAAATAAGAAGTTTTCGGTTTAACAATGGCAAGAAATTCATATTGAGAGCAGGCATGATTTTTAAATACGGCTTCGCACATGATAATGATTCGGAAACGCAATCAGATGCAGCTGTGCCGGCTGTATGAGATTGAGTTTCCGAACTGAAGGTAGCCGGGTCATCCAATCTTTGCTGAGACAGAATCCCTGGAATCATAAACTATGGTAATAAGTATTTAGGAATTGTCTCTTTTTTTGAATTGTACATTTAACAGCGTCTATCATCAACATTAAACTTAATAATTCAGAAACGAAGGATTTACGAACATATGTATATGGACTCTTTTCCTTGATTAAGTGTGAGGAAATCGCCCAAGGTTTGTAAATGTATTTTTGATACACCCTGTATATGTGCATATATATATATATATATATATATATATATATAAATTTTGAAAATCAAAGAACTGTCAGAACAGTAAAAAGTTACTGTAAATAATTATTCTTAGACTTTAGTTATATTTTCGACTTTTTTTTTTATTATATATATATATATATATATATATATATATATATATATATATATATATATATTTGGTTGGATAGATGTGAGATTGTGACCCTGGTTTTCACGCTTTAGCGATCGTCAGAAAAACTAGTTTGTCTGACGACGCTAAAGCGTGAAATATAATATTACAGTGGATCATTGATACGAAATTAGATTAGAAAATTTAATGATATAAAATGATTCATTGTAATATAAATTGAACTGCACCACATATTTGATATATATATATATATATATATATATATATATATATATATCCAGGTACGATGAGAAGGATTAGAGTACAATTACAATATTTGTAACATTATTTATTTTAGAATATTACACGGAAACATCCCAA